ACTGACATAATAATGATTACTGACACTCACTGACTCTACAATGCTTTTTATATTGTGACACCGACCTGCACGGTGCACACGGACACAATGTTCCATATAGAATTATAGCTACATGCATGAGGTCTAGGGCAGCTCTTCAAAAATAAGAGCTATCCTGGATGTAGATTTGTTTGTGTTTGCGTTGCTACCACTTCATTATTTGTCGATGCATGATTGCACAACACAGGTCCACGTGTACATGAAGAGAATGTTCGCGGTCGAGGTAAGCCTGTGCTAATTACCAATTGGCTTGTTCATTTGGTTTTCACCCCATAACGTTAGAACGCAGTGGTTTTACGAAAATCGCCTTTTTTTAAAAGAACCCAGTGTTGCACTGAACCCGATCATATCGCTATTTACCTGATTTTCGTGCGCGCGGGTGGCAGAAAACGTGGTAACAGACAGACTGACTGACTGACACACTTATGGGAATAACCCTCGCTGCGCATGCGCGCCGAGGGTTAATCAATTAATCAACAGCAAAACGCAAGCTAGCCAGTTGGAAATGTGCACACTGACTTACAGAAGGCACTGGAGGCTAAGAGTTCCTCTGCAGGTCTGTCAACTCGTCTGGTAAACATACGCGCGCACAGCTAGCGCATTCGACAACGCCTCTGCATGGCGCATGCGCGCGGCTTACTTGATGCTGAGTTAGCAGCAAATGGCGTTGTTCAGTGTGACGACCATGGAAGAGCTCCATGATCTACCGTTGTGACTTACGGCAAGAAAAGAAACGATCGCTTGATGTCCGTGCACACCTCCGGCGAAATTGCAGACGTTCAGTGAAAAAATCAGCGCTTCAATTGGTTCTGGTAAGGAGATAACGGGATTGAAGAATATGATGATGATGACACGAAAAGTCGCGTATGAGCGAAGTCTCGCGTAGAGAACTGAAGCTGCGTATGAGGTATTTGTGAACATGAGGTAGATATGGGCCCGTAGACAATTGCTAGTGTGTTTTGAAGGCTTAGGGAGTTTTGTACGCGGATCACGTGAGATTTCACTCGTGCCATCCCTATATAGAGCGTCTACCGACGCTCTAATATAGCTCTCATTATTGACGTATAGTGTATTGCTAGTTATTTATACGCAGTGTTCTAGATTACATATTTAGTTTCTTGTTTTCTCTTGATCTCCATGCCGTCAGGGGGGTATTGCGTGAATACAGTTAGCTAGTCATATAACCTCTGTTATTATCTCCAACTGCTGGACATTAGGAGACTGATGAACTAAAATGGATGGTGGTACTTCAAAACGGGAATGTAGTAGAATAAATACCGAGAACTGGCGGGCCTGGTTAGGCACAAAACACGACGGAGGCTCAGAGGAAGAGGTAATGTTTGCTAGTATCACGACAATCTCAAAAGCGGTTCGAGTTTGCGCTTTTGTGACAATTATTGTGATTGTGTGGGGTCTCTTTTCATTATTCTCTGTTTGCCATTGGACAATAATTGTCTATCCCAGAGAACCACAAGTATTGGAAGCAATTTTACCATTATTGTAGATTTTCTTGAGTACTGCTGCTTGAGAGTGTGTGTTGGTGAAAAGTAAGTGGCATACTCCATCTGAAGTAGAAACCCTAGCGGGAAAGAAAGCTAAGGAGGTTGAAGCTGAATCGTATCTGCGCATTTCAGAAGCTTCAAATGATAATATAACAGTTTTATAATATTAACTGTAATCTGTTTGGCTGGCTATAAAAAAAATACAAGGAAGTGAGTATATATATATATATTTATATATACTCAAGCTAGAACACATACAAAGGTTCCCTAAATCCCTACCTGTACTACTGTTCAACACTGTGAGAATGATAGAAAGAGGGAACTGTATTGACATGGAATCGTCTCACTGAACACAGCGACACAGCGACACAGAGCTCCGCAGTGCCGCCACTTTCTGAAAGTGTAAATGACGTTAACTCTAGAACTATATACTCAGCTCCTGCATAATCATGCTATAAATAATATGTGTAGCAAAACTTACTGTCATCGTATCTAATAAGGATTTCAGCCTGGTCGTATTCTTGTTTTACTGTTGTTGTAATTGCTGTCAAGTGATTATCTCTAACCAGCTCTACACGTTGGTCATCATAAATCATCTGATTATAACAATTATATGCTCTGTAGTTCACTGATGAAGGTGTCAGCAATGGCATTGGCAATTACAGTCTGCTGGGCATAGTCTGAGCCTTCGATCATTAGATACCGACTGAGAAAGTCAGGTTGGGCAGGGGCTGGGAACGAGAGTAACATTGCTATCACCCAGCTTTGAATTCTAATGACTTTTAAACTTGCTAGTGAAGCACCAGCTGGGGATGTAGACTTAACTGGAGTTATCAATTACCTACAAACATATTTACAGTCTCATCCAGAGTGTCAAAATAACACGTTTACTGATCCCACACTCTCATCAACATGACACTGATCCCACAATCTCATCAACAGCGTAAGTTTTCTCCACAAATGACACAACCAATGGCCCTACATAAATTAGTTCAAGTTCGATGAGAGTTCTCTCGCTGGCTAGATCGCACATTGCGCGAAATCCTGACGCATGCGCAGTTGAACGACGTAGGGTCGACGGTCGTAAAATATCGCTCCGTTCGGACCACAGGGTTAGCTCGCTCCCGCTCACCAATACATGTCATTCTAATTATCGCGGTTCCAAGGTACAGGAGCTAAGATGGTTAGGATATTACGTGCAGATACAGTCATTGCACTCCCACCCCCAAAAATTCCTCACATTCGCCTACTGCGGCATGAGTTGACGATGTCGGAATGTACCAACTAGGGCTATGGCTAGGGTTTCAATACATACGTATTAAGTGTAGTGGGGTCGAGATGTAAGCATGCTCAAATCTGCCGTGCTACACGTCTTAATGCGGGTAGCAGAGAAAAACAGGTGTAGATAATATTATCTGTAATTGAATCCAATCGAAACAGTTGGGAGTGTTTACGTTTTTGCGTTAGTTTATTTTTTCACTTAGTTTCCTTATTCGTGAGCAGTTGCGCCGGGGGCACATGAATACAGTTATCCATATATAGCTAGCTGTCACCGCTCCACAATTTGAGAGAAACTACATCGAACTGTTGGAAATTTAGGAGACTGATTTACTGAGCTGATGATGGATGGGGAGACTTCAAAACGTGGAAAACTACCGGAAACGTCTGAAGTAGTAGAAGAAGTCAGTTCGGCACCGAGAACCGCGAGGAAAACCGAGCCAAGTACGGCACAAGACGAGACGGAGGCTCAGAGGCAAAGACAACGTTTGCTAGTATCACGACACTGTAAAAAGCGGTTGGAGTTTGCTTTTCTGGTGGCAATGATTGTGATTGTGTGGGGTCTCTTTTCACTACCGATCGTGTTTTACTATAGCTCCTCGTCAGAGGTGATCATTAACAATTACTCGCAGTACGTATGTCTTACCTAACATTAGTTTACCCTAGAATTTGCACGCCCTCTCCCCTAGGTCCAGTAAGCGTAGGGATTTGTATGGGTTCCAGCGATGTAAAGGTGTGAAAGGGTGTAGGTATGCATAGCTAGCTACACTTCGTATAGACTGGCCCTATATATATTATACCTGAGAGTACAACTACGTATTTTTGTATTCATAGTCAAGTGCAAACCCTCGGCGAACTGCGCATGCGCGGTACCGATAATTGATGGGCTGGGCTAGTTGTGGTTCTCCCGCTAGTACAATAGCTCGCGGTTAGTCTGACACGGGCTAGTCGAGGTAAGCCAGTACTATCATAATTGATTGGTTGGGCCACGCAACGCGGTCCGCGTCCGTGCGCTCTCGAACGCAGTCGTTTCAGGAAAATCGCCGTTTTATTTTTCAGGCCCACGTCGTATTGAGCCGTTGGTATCGATAGGCCGCCTCGTGGCCTGTAGTGCCAGAACAAGCGTCGACACACAGACAGACAGACAAACCAAGTATTAATCACTCACATGATTACCTTTACCCGTGACAGGACAACCTAAGGCTTTATGATAGGCATTGTACAAGTCATTGATGCTGACTACTGAATTTTATGTACATGTGTTTGTTTTGTGTTAGATTAGGACAGATAATACAACACTCTTTCTCAATGTGTCTGCTAAGGACAACATGACAGATGAGTGCCACATTGAATACACCGGAACTCAGTGCATGTGTGCACTACAGTCGTATGCAGAATGTGAATCTTCTGAAATTGAAACCAAAGTGTTTATCAGTAACACTATTGGAGATCAAAAGGCTGTTGAAAACATGGTTGAGGATGTAGTATATTTTCTCGGCCTAATAACACCAAGCGATGAGTGTAGAAGTGCAGCAATTCAGTTTTTCTGTCTTTACTTTTTCGGACTCTGCGGCACATACAATACTGACTATCGACCGACTGCAGCAGAGTGTAGGGAGGTTAGAGATTCCACCTGCCAATCAGAGTGGAAAGAAGCTGAACGTTTACTAAAATTATACGGGCTATCAATTGAGCTACCCAAGTGTTCAAGTCTTGAGGATGAAGGACTTGATTGTGATGAAGGTGAATTCAAAATGGTTTTGTGCTATCCTGTTTGTATGATTCCTCTTTTGCAGCAGTCAGTCCTAACTACACTGTTGAGCTATGCAATGGTACTGATACAGTCAACTCATCCTGCATGTTGGAGTGTCACGAGCATTTCTACTGTGACAACAACTTCTGCAAGCCACGATGTGACGGATTCACAATCTACTCTGACGAATACGTAAAGCTCTCTGATGGACTCTTGATCACATCTGGATGTGTCGGACTGCTGTGTGGAATTGCAGTAGTTGTTGTATTTTGCATCCGACGCAAGAAACTGTAAGAAACTGTGCATACAATAATTATTATACATGCAGCTAAACACTAGCTATGCCACAAATGTAGTACATTCCGTTTGAGAATGCATGTTTTTACCTTCCAACTGCTGGGAGTGTGTAATATGTAATTAACTCACTATTCTGGATAGGATGATGTTTCCAACAACTCTGGTCTTCTACATGACCATCTCCCTCCTCATTTTAGGTAAGATTTTAGTGTTACTGTTGTTTGGGAGAATAGTATCGTCGACCAGTAAAGCAATTGAACTTGCTTCATTTTTCGCAGAAATTTTCGTTTTAGTTTCCTTTTTGGATCGAACAGCACTCTTCTGTGGTTCTCCAGACCTGGCAGAGAGTCTACGAACCCCAACAACTTTCTGCACAACAAGTGGTACAGTTCACAAGTGGTTTTGTGTTATACATGGTTCAACATAACGTTATGTATCAGTGTTACATGAAAGGTGAATGGGTTAGCTTAGCAGAACTGGAGGGGGTTCCACTATCACATGCATGTGAAAGCTACGAGGTACAAAGGCAAAAAGGCACAACAAACAGGTAAACTTCACCTAAGACAGCTCTTTTTCTCCAAGGAGAGAAGAGCTGCCCTAGATGGGATTCGAACCCACGACAGTCTGAAGTCTAGGCGAGCGCTCTACCAACTGAGCTACCAGGGCATCTCAGCTGGTAGGGGTTCGAATTTACAACAAAATACAATAACAAGGCAAACCTCAAACTACTGTGCTATGGCATATACGGCACTGACAAAAAGCATAGTACTATTGTACTATGCATGTCATGTAAGGTGTTTGGCTGTGTTTAAGTGGAAGATCCATACACTATCAGTGGTGAACTGACAGAAAATGTAGAAGATTAATGTTTGTTATTGTGTTTCAGGCATAATAGAGGCATATGGCATCCTTAATGTCACTCTGTGGTGGATATTCAACATCTGTGCAATATTCTGGAAAGTGCAGTTCCCATTTCACGCCAGATATTATGACCAGACTAATAGAACCAAATATGTTCACATCACATGTGTGGTTGCAGCCATTATACTTCCTCTCTACGCTCCTCTTGCCATTGCCCTCAAGGGAGGATTCATCCCCAGCAGATTTCCTCCTATCATTTGCCTTGGAAGAGAAGTTGATGCAAACTTTTACGCTGTGTTAGCTCCAATAACAATACTGCTTGGTATAGGAACAACAATGTTGCTGTTGATACTCTGGAGAATTAGACAGGTAACTAGGCACACGCAGATACATTATTTATCTCAATGTCACATCGTGGAAAACAGGGGAAGATGCCTAGTCAAACCCATCCCCACTTTTAGCTTGTATCCTTCTTACGAAAGCAAATTCTTAATGACGAAAGCACCGCATAGTCAAGGTATAGCTGCTACATGGACATATGTTATTTGTAATTGAAACATTAAAAGTTAGAAATGTGAAATCAGTATTATACATAGTGTGAATAACTTCTTTTTTCTTATCCAGCACATGTCTGATCAATCTTTTCAAAGGTCAAGAAACACAGTGCTGTTAAGTTCAGCAGAAAGTAAAATTTTTTGTGGTTTTTCTGTACTATCTCTTTACTGGAGTACTTCAACTCTCAACGTTTTCCCTCACCATTAAGGATATTGACCATAATATCAGGGTCCTAGGTAATTATTTCCAGTGCCAGCGATCTGGTCTCAACGAATCTTGCTCTCTCGAAACAGAGTTTATAGAATTTTGGTCATTATTTGCGTTCATTGTTCTTCTTCTCCTGCCCGCTATCAACCTGTTCTTTGCTTCGAAGTTTAGCAGTATCTGTGTGATGTTCAAATGTCGGAAATATAAGGTGAACAGACTACGGAGCAGAGTGTTCTTGACATCTACAACGGAAACAGAACTATGATTGTACACAAGTCTACATTGCATTATAATTATACCAATTATGGCATAGCTATATAATAGACGTATAATTATACTCAAACTCTAAGTTTTGTATAATGATTCGTTTCCAAGAGTGATGTTTAATCAACAATGCCAAACCCTTGGCGCAGTACGTGTGAAGAATTGGTGGCTAGAAACATTCTAGGAGAAAGGCAAATTCACCTTTGAGCCTGGCATTTGTTACTGGATAGAAAATTCAATTGCACACAAAGGCTGAGTTGCTTTAGTAACAGATGTCTGAGTTGTATTGATGTCTTAGTTACTTACGAAGATTCCTTGTCCAGTTGGTGGGGAAGGTCAGTTTGGCAGGTATCATTAGCAGTGAATTTCTTGTAGAAACTGTATATATAAATTATAGCAGACTGCACTGGTTGTTTTTGTTCGAAGTGGCTGGCCTGGGGTCATTCAATGCTCAACTCCATTAAGTATCCAATAATTCACTCCATTTTCATATTCAGAGTACCTACTGGTAGACAGAGAAGATTGGCTGCACCTCCATGATGGTGGAAATAAGACCCCCCAGCTCTTCCTGAGTAGACTAGTGTTGTCCCCATCAGAGGGACTAAAGGTACTCCCCAGCAAGTGTAGACTGTTCCTCCTCTTCCTCCTGGAGGTCCAGGCAAACATTGGTGTCCTTTTTGTCCCCTCAATCTATCCCTGCCATCCCTTCCATCTCTTCCATCCCTCCTTTCACTTTGTCTCAGAAGCTCCGCAGTGTGTTGACAACTACTATTTGCTGAAACACACAAACTATATATACACTGTAATCCTAGCTGTGCATGTGCGCCAAAGGTTTAGCTACACGTCCTTGATGTGGGTTTTAGTAGCTCAATCTGTCCATTTCAAACTGTCCTTAAAATATAGTTGACAAAGCAACCATCATTGTTGAATTGCTCCCATTGTCTGGGTATATATAATTATTGAAAGGCCGCAGCGAAATGCACATTAAAAATGTCAAGGGCAATTGCATTGGTCGTAGCTTGGACTGCTGTGGTTAGATCTGCAGTGTGGTATTAGCTACCATATAACCCTAGTTAAAATATGCTTGTGTGTGTGTGTGGGTGGTGGGGGGATGATATATCAACCAGACCTAACAGCAGCAGTTTTAACCACAGTCAATGTCATAGTTGTTCCTTTTTTATGACTTTCGGAGAGGGTATATATAGCTAAAAAAAAAAATGAAGAAATGGCCCTTAGATGATCAAAGATAATTATTAAATGGAGTATTCTTCAAACATGACAGTAGTTCTGAAGGTTCAACTACTAGCCACAACTCTTGCTCTAACTTACTGACGAGGGGTATATACATCAAATAATATAGTCTTGGCTTATTACTCTCCTTCCCTACACAGCTTGTGCTTTTGAGAAGGTCATGACAAGAAAAGAAACACAATTTTTATATACAGGCTTCCAGGGAAGATTACAACAACGAATATCAGACCTTGCGTGTGTGTGCCTTTGATTTCTACTCGACGGCTTCTGTGTGACGCCAAGTGCTTACAATGTCCACACTGCAGCTGCATAATAAAAGAACAACACAATTTGAATCAGTTGTAGACAAAATGCCTATCATGAAACAGTCTTGATCTCGTGGAGATTCTCCTCAGCCATGGAGAAGGTAGCCTCCTCGTGGTTGGGGTCAAGGGTGAACCAGAGAGCCACGGCACACCTCCTGCCCTTGGTGACAGCCAGTACTCCGTCCATGTTGTTCTCCTTCCCTGCTGAGAAGGCCACCAGACGACCACACTTTGGACTCACCGTCTCCTGTGGCACAGGGAGAGGGGAGGGGGGGGCAATATTTCTTTCCTCAATTGTAGTTGAAGTGTTTTACAGCTATGGATGGCCTTGTTCTCAGGCCTTCACCACTCTAGTGTGCATTTTTGACTGCTATATATATAATTGCCGAGCGCATTAGCGCGAGGCAACTACTCCGGGTTGTATTCTCGTACGTACGTCGTCAATTAGTCACGCTTAGGAATGTCAATTAGTCACCAAAATGAAGTGTAACTTCCGTCATTCGTAGTCAGTAGAGCGCGCGCACGAGCGGCCTCAGTCGGACAGTTTATGCATTGGCTGGCTGAGGCGTGTGCGAATTCCTAGTAATAATAATACTCAGGTGGCTGCCCTAGCACTAGGGCCATGGCCCACGCACCCAGAGCAATGGGCGGAACCGTTAACAAACGAACATACACCATATGAACATGCAGTGTCTGTCTCACCTCCAGACACCTCAACACACCCCTTCCACCAGCGACACCCTGCAGCTCCCCAGACACCATCTGAGACTGAGTCTGTTGCACGCTGGGATTATCGCCATGTAACCTAACCTTTCTTAGCTCCCAAACATCTGAAATAAAACCTTTAACAAGGCGAAGCAAAGAACCAAACTTATCCTCCCACAGCTCACTACCCAATATAGAGGATGCTTTCCTGAAACTATCAAGCGACTGGAAATGCTAAAACCTATCATCCCCAAGCTTCTCCTGCAGGGCAACTAAGAAATTGCTCCTAAGACTACTATATGCTGGACACTCCCACAACACATGACTCACACTTTCACACTCATAATCACACAACTGGCACTCCTTCATCGCCTCCCTCCCCCTATGCCTACAGAGTTCCTCATTTAGCCCATGCATGCCTGACCTGAACTTAAACATTAATCTAGACCCAGCATCACTTTTCCCATGCAAGTACTTTTTGAACTCTACATGAGTAGTTCTGCAGCCGTTGGTATTTCTGATAGGCCACATCGTAGCCTGTAGTGCCAGAATAAGCTTCGACACACAGACACACAGACAGAATGACTACTGCAACCCTTGCTGCGCACGCCGCTGAGGGTTAATGAGAATTGCTCTGAAGATGTAACCACCAGCTACAAGCTGAAACAATGATCAGCTCACTGGTAGGTAGCTATGAACATTTATTCCCACCTCTTCACAGCTCATTCTCTGGAGAGAGACCCAGAAAATATTCTTTAAACAAACAACGTTGTGTAGAAGTAGAATACATGACTGTGTGCATAAATCCTCCAGAGCCAGCAAAAACATGTATGTATGCATCTGTTACAAACCTGTAAGTGGAACAGAACATGACCAACCATCACAAAAACTCCTCCAAATAAAAAGATGTGCGCACATTGTGAGCTACACATTCTGTTGTATTCTGCGCCTTTCAGGAGAGTGGTTATCAGATACTGGTGTAATGAAAAGCACTAAAGTGCAAACCCTCGGAGAACTGCGCATGCACCGTACCACTAATTGATGGGCTGGGTATGCCTTTACTTGTGGTCTCCCGCTCGTAGCTCGTGGAGAGTCTGACACCGACTAGCTACAGTAGTAGATAGCATGCGGCAGTCGATACATACATGCCCTTCGTTGTAACTTTTTGTGCCTTCAAGATACACAGAGCGAGCAGACGCGGTCGAGGTAAGCCTGTGCTAATTTGCATATTGGCTTGTTCACTTGCTTTTCATGCCAAAACTTTTGAACGCAGTAGTTATATGAAAATCACCTTTTTTTTGCCAATGTAGCCATGAACCCATTGGTGTCACTGTTTTGTTGTCTCATTGTGTGTTGTCGCAGAAAACGTGGTAACAGACAGACAGACACACTTACAAACCAAGTATATACCGTAACCCTCGATGCGCATGTGTGCCGAGGGTTAACCATTCGTGAATTGGAATTGCTGTTCAACAAAGGAGTGATCATAAAGAAACATCATGTTTAGTATACACCACCACACAGCCTCCTTAAAATAAAACTGACCACACCAACTGAATAGATCACAAAATCACATGTCACCAAAAGAAAATGGGAGCTGTTCTAAAGGTTATACTGGCAGCTACACTAGTTGTAACGATGATCTGCTCACTGACTGCAGGTATGACTATTTTAGTTACTTAAGGGAATGCAGTAGTATGTAAGGGCTAAATTTTGAAGTTACTAAAGATAGAGCTAAACAATAGGCCTAAGATCAAGGATAAATTACGTTTCTTTTTCAGTAACTAAATTAACAAGAAAACACCTTTACTTTCACTCTGTACACAGCCCATTCTCTGGAGAAAGACCCGAGATTACACCAGTGGTGATGGAGAAAACCCACACCTGTCCACAAGTGGAGCTCCTGAGAGGAAGAGACGGCAGAGATGGGAGAGATGGTGTGAGGGGAGAGCCAGGAGCCCAGGGACCAAAGGGAGACAGAGGTCTGCCTGGTCTTCAAGGAGAACAGGGTCAACATGGTCCTGAGGGTCAGAACGGCAGCGATGGTGGGAAGGGAGAGAGGGGAGCAAAGGGAGACAGAGGAGAGGCCGGATTGCCAGGGGACATGGAGAGACCAGGGAACGACACTAGTCTACTTTGGAAGAGCTGGGGGTCTACGTGGAGTACTAAAGGAGGAGCAGCTAACCTCATCTGTCTGCGTAGTCACTGTATGCAGCTGGAGTTCAGAATAATAGTCCCCTCATGGGAGCACAGTACAGAGCCTTAGGCCAGCCATTTCAAACTAAACATGCCCATAACATACCATGTGCAGTTTGTTGTACCTCCATCAGAAGTAAACTATTAGTGATACCGGCCAAACTGAGCTGCCCCACGAACTGGACCACAGAGTACAATGGATACCTCATGGCAGGCCGTCAAAGTGATGATATACACACCCTATTTGAGTGCATCGATGGTCAGCCAGAGTCTGTTCCTGGACTGAATGGAGATGACGGTGGCAATGCTCAGTACTACCACATGGAGGCAACCTGCAATAGTCTTAGTTGTCCTCCTTATGATAATGAGAAGGAGGTGACATGTGTTGTCTGCACTCAGTGATGAAATGAACACTGACCTAGTGACTAAAACTGCAGCATAAACATAATAAACTTGAAGGTAGATTTTTGGTGAACATGTAACTTGACAACATATTGCAGCACTTATAGAGACTCCAACCATATTTACGACTCGAATAATTATTTTTCTTCTTAGGTGTGTTACAATCATTTCTGGCACACATGCACTAAATCGCAAACTACAGGCATACTAGAAAGGCACCTGTGTGAGTACAAAACACACCCATTAAGCACTCACGGGTTAGTACTGTAACATGATGGGCTGAGCTATGCTACTTGTTTGTTGACTGAGCCATTTCGGTAGGACATTTGTTATAGCCAGTGGTCTACTGGTTGTACACATGTGTGATAGGGCACAAGGACACAGCCCAAGTGGTCTATCAAAACTGAAGCCACAAGTATGCAAGAAGTATGCAACGCAGAACACTAGCCATCATAATAATTACATCCAGCAATAAGGTTCTGACAAATGCTACTTCTTAGTGCCACAAACAGCGGTGATGGATATTCATGGTTATTCCTCGAGAGTTCAACGTAACTAGGAATGCGCACGCGCATATTTTGCCTCGCGCCTGCCAGCAATGCGTAAACAGTCCGACTGACGCCGCTCGAGCGCGCGCTCTACTGACTGCGCGCAAAGCCAGACTTCCTACGAATCTGCGCGAACGGCGGAAGCTAGACTTCTTACGAATGACGGAAGTTACACTTCCTTTTTGTATCGCGAGAATACAACCCGGAGTAGTTGCCTCACGCTAACGCGCTCGGCAATTATGTCCTGTTAGCCTAGCTTGCTTTTGTTACCCACCTTACCAAGTGCTCTTGAATGCAGCCTGTTGCAAGACTGTAAGCTAAGCTGACGATCACCGGATACTCTTCCTGTTCACGAGATCATCGGGAAGCAGCTTGCGCTAGTGTTCACGGAGAATATCCCTTCATTCACTTGAACTAGAAATTTGCAACCATACGATATTCTTGCAAGAAAAGCAGCACACAAGAGCGGTAAAACACCTACTTACTATGTAAGCAACTTCCACCCTGGCAATTTCCTACTAGCTATCATCTAACCTGTCGTTTAGGCAAGTAAGTTGACATATATACAGCTATAGTATGGGGATAACGATGGCCACTTTATGTTCTCACTAACGTGACTTAGCTGGAAGGGCTTCTTTCGCATCTACACTGACTGGAATTCCTCTGATTTTACTCCTTGTCATCATACAATTTTTTGCACTCCACTGTAACTTTCACAGTCAACAAAACTAGTGGAGTCCGGCTTAGGTAAGCCAGTGGGGTCCACTTGATTTTAATGCTAATTAGATTTTTAATATGAAGGAAGTGTTGTGTCGAATTTGGGTGGTACCGTCAGTTTTGGCTGACACGGTGACAAAAGGCATGTCTCACACGGGTCATGTGTATATTCTGTGGATGTATTGTATCAAGCGCACGTCAAGGAGGAGACGATGCAGAAAAATCAGTATGGAGCATTTGAACAGGTTTTTGCACTTTTGAGGATGTATACACCTTTGCGTATGTAACATAATGAGCGACAAGTCACGACTCTCCATGCTCATCTTCCTCTGTCACCATAAGTTTCTTGTAGAGCTACAGTAGTAGATTTCCGTACCTTATCAGTATGTAGTCTAAAGCTAGTCAGACAGACTGAGTGCTCGAGTGGTGTGGCAGTACATCCGGTGAACTATTGGAACACAGAGAGACAGGTCAAAGTTTGAAGTTGCTCATAGTCTGTCATCTACCTAAATTAACATACTAGTCACCCCTTATGCCTATGTCTAATGAATAATCCAAATCATTGGACAGTCACATCACCATCACACAGACAGCAACTTCATGTATGTATCAGTCCAGCTCACAGCGATAACAAAGTACTGTGCTATGTGCAACTACGAGATAGAAGCAAGGTCACAATAGGTCAACCAATAACGTCAACTACACCCATGACAGCTTTAATCAAGCAAAAATAGCTGCCCGAACTCTGCAGTCTAGGCAAGCGCTCCACCAACTAGATACAGCAAACCTCAAACCACTATGCTATGGCCACACAAAAAGTCACTATATGCTGACTTACTCTCAACATACACTGTGCACCAAAACTATATAACACTGAAAGAACTTATCCACATCAAGCATTAAAGGAAAAGAGGACCCTGAAACAGCAACACTTGATATTTTAATATGTGATGAGAATACCTGTGATGACTCAAATGACCTACCTTTCACTCTCTAAGAGACTACGATAGTGTAGCCCAGCCCTTCAATTATAAGTTCTGACCTGTGCATGCACAGTTGAAGTGTGTTGAGTGTTGTGCTGTGTTGGAGATTTGAACCCCTACCAGCTGAGTTGCCCAGGTAGTTCAGTTGGTATACAGAGCGCTTGCCTAGACTGCAGAGTGTCGTGGGAATCCCATCCAGGGCAGGTCCTTTTTTCCTTGAAAAAGAGAGCTGTAGTTGATATGTTTGTTGTGCCTTTGCCTTTCTACCTCGTAGTTTTCACATGCATATAATTAGCTTGGAGTTGGGCGTCATTGTGGTTTAATTACACCCCTACATTGTAAGTAGAGTATACTGTGCCATAGTTTGAGGTTTGCCTTGTGTTGTGTTGTAGATCTGAAAACCTCAACCAGCTGAGTTGCCCTGGTAGCTCAGTTGTAGAGCGCTCGCCTAGACTGCAGTGTCTTGGTTCAAATCCTACCTAGGGCAGCTTAGCTGTCCTGGTGCTTTTGCTTCGCGACCTCGTAGTTACACATGCATATGGGTGCAATGCTTATATGCATGTGATTATATAGTGAGCCAAGGGCATGCACTTTAGCGTTTTCACAATGACCATGTTGGGTATTAAACTGCCAGACTCAACGGCAGCATACAAAAGAGTGACCTGGAACAGGGGGAGGTTCTATGCTAGTGGTAACGGTTAGCATTCTTTTGGAGAGCGCCTAACAGACTTGCAAGTGGAACCCAACAAGCATGCCCAGAGAGACTTTACTTGGGTGACCGTAACAAAGCTACTCGACATTATTTAAAGTGCAAACCCTCAGCACACTACGCATGCACGGTATCGCCATCAGCATGCATTTACTCATAGTCCCTGCTAGTAGCTCGCCGGCAGAGACTGCTTGCAGTTTTGCACACAGAAGTGCTAGTGAGTTACATTAAAAGTAGGGCTTGATTACAACTACACAGTTGGTACTTCTAAATTCATGCTCCAAAAAAACTGGCAGGTTAGCCTAGCAAAGGGATTGATTGCGGTATGAATAACTTTCAGTCTCGGTAAAGGTATCTTCGTGTTCCACATCCAGGGTTGCATACAGAGGTGGAGAGGGTGCACTGGGATCTTCCTCCCCCCTAAGTTAATTGAAAGTTGAAAGTGGCCAGAATGCCTTCCCCCAGAAAAGATGTCCCCATACATTTAAAAAGAATGTACGTTGTACAAGTTCTGTAATGTGTGTAAAAGTTTTAGTATAACATTTTTTGCGGGCCAAGGTACGTTAATTTCAAGCTGGGTCCCCCCCAGAAAAAATCCTGTATGCTATCCTGTCACCTTTGTATGACGTACATAACATCCCTAAACCTCGATTATTCCACTTTAAACATCACGAGCTGTTTAAAGGATAGGTTGTTGACAATAACTTATGCAAAAATGCAACTATCGAAACATTTGCTTAAGAAAACGTGGTAACATACTGACAGGCAGACACACACACCAAGTAACCCTCGCTGCGCATGCGCTCCGAGAGTTAATTAGTGATGATGTAACAAACTGGATTTCAACATCACGAGCTGTTTAAAAAACAGGTTCTTGACAACAACTAATGCAAGAATGTAACTATCGAAACATTTACTTAAACAGTTTTCTTGGAGCAGAGCTAATGCAAGGAAGCATGTGTAGGAACACCAGGATAGCAAATAGCTGATGCAATTTGTGAATAGTGCACTCCCTTTTGCGAATTACCACCAACTACATAAGAGATGTCTCATTCATTCAGAATAAGACATTTTTGCTGTACAAAAATGGATTTTTTTCACAAGGTTCAACTGCAAGCTACACTAGCTGTGATGATGATCTGCTCACTGACTGCAGGTATGACAATGCAGCTAATGCCTGCAACATCTTTCATTCTCTATACACAGTGCTTTCTCTGGAGAGAGACGCAAGCAATAATAGTGGTGATGGAGAAACCCACACCTGTCCACAAGTGGAGCTCCTGAGAGGAAGAGACGGCAGAGACGGGAGAGATGGTGTGAGGGGAGAGCCAGGAGCCCAGGGACCAAAGGGAGACAGAGGTCTGCCTGGTCTTCCAGGAGAACAGGGTCCACAAGGTCCTGAGGGTCAGCACGGCAGCGATGGTGGGAAGGGAGACAGAGGAGAGGCCGGGTTGCCAGGAGACACAGGAGAGAGGGGACTGCCAGGTTTTCGGGGACCTCCTGGAATATCCGGTCCCCTGGGGCCAGTGGGGGACAAGGGCAGTCATGGGTCCCCTGGTCAGGCTGCTCCTCAAGGAGAACCTGGTCTACTGGGTCCAGCAACAGGAGGAGGAACAGTCTACACTCGCTGGGGGAGGACATCCTGTCCCTCTGACCCGGAAACAACACTAGTCTACTCTGGAAGAGCTGGGGGGTCGTATTTCCACCATCATGGAGGTGCAGCAAATCTTCTCTGTCTACCAGATGATCCTGAGTACTCTCGTTATGAGGGTGGAGTACAAAAGATATAGTCCCCTCAGGGGAGCAGAGTATCTAACAGCTACAAACCAGCCATTTCGAGAGAAAAGCGGCAACAACATACCATGTGCAGTTTGTTGCACCTCCATCAGAAGTAAACTACTAGTGATACCTGCCAAACTGAGCTGCCCCACCAACTGGACCACAGAGTACAATGGATACCTCATGGCAGCACATGATCGCCACAATGGTCGTACACTGTTTAAATGTATTGATGGTCAACCAGAGTCTGTTTCTGGACTGAATGGACATGACAACAGCAATGCTCTCTACTATCACGTGGAGGCAACTTGCAACAGCCTCAATTGTCCTCCTTACGACAGTGAGAAGGAGGTGACATGTGTTGTCTGCACTCAATGAAGAAGTAGAGAAGAAACGTGGACAATTATAGTAGTATTAGCACAACTTCGTAGAATGTACACTTTTGTTCACTGCAATTAGCATAAGCTACGTACAACTAGACATTCAGGGTTTTGTGTATTTATACATGACGGACCTGTAGTGTAGGTATATCACAATGTGTTTTGTTACCACATGTAAAATCACAAAATAGCCAAAACGTACTGATGCGCAGATCATACCAAAATTACAATATTTTCAGAGTCACACATATTCGTTTTTCGGGTCTTACGACAGTGTTAGACCAACACAACACAAGACAAACAAGATCTCAGCGTTTTTTCTGGGATGCTCATCAAAAGTCACATCCAAAGTACATCTGAACATACATAGCTAGGGATATATCATTATTATTATGCACGATCGCGTGGCCATGACCAATCCATTTTTGAGATGGACGGTGGGCACGACCATACATTATTAGATAGATTAAAGAAAGATGGTAGAAGTTTAGAAGAAGGCTGACTGACTTTTTGGCTAGACTACTACTACTATTAGGACCATGAGATAGTTGTCTATTGACTATTTTAACCTTCGGCACGCATGCGCAGCGAGGGTTACAGTACTTGGTCTGTCCGTCTGTCTGCTTGTTACCACATTTTATGCCACCACGTGGAACAAAATGGCGATTTTCATAAAGTACCGCATTCAGAAGTTATGGCAAGTTAACAAGACAGTATGTTATTTAGCAGAGGCTTACCTCGACTGGGTCCTCTTGTTCTGTGGATGTTGAAGGCACAAAAAGTCGCAACAAACAACGTGTATCGACTCATGCATGCTATCTACTACTGTAGCTAGCCCGTGTCAGACACTCCGTGAGAAACTAGCGGGAGACCACGACAACCCATCAATTATCGGCACCGCGCATGTGCAGTTCACCGAGGGTTTACACTTTAGTGCTTTTCATTTCTATATCTTTGTGACCCGTATTGCCACTGGCACTGCCGCACTGCACAACATTCAATTTAACGCAGCAGTCCAAAAATTTCAATTTTACACACATTCTGTAAATGTTGCTGTACGCAAGATACTTACAGAGTGTGACTTATTTGGCAAAGTGGGGGTGACGACTAGTGCGGGACAGTGCTTGCAGGAGGCAGCGTCGTGCTTCGGAAAGAAGCCATTTAGCAGGGAAAATGCCTTTTGTCGCCGCTGATGCATGCAAGAGAGGTGCGCATCCAGCATCAGAGGACAGCTATTGAAAAAGCATTGATCCTCCTGTGCATGCTCACCCATGGCTGCATATCTGTAGTTTGGTCACTCCTGCTCGCCATAATACTAAGTCACATGTAGCAAAATCCCCTCGGAAAGATACTGTATGATTGACCATAATACTCGAGACACATACACTTACAAACACACCATTACAATCCATACATATGTTAACCCTTTCAATAAAATTTACAGCACATGTATATACACTACTTCAATAAAAGTGCACTGACACACTGTATACCTCTCGTGGAATGAAGTCCTTGCGAGTGACTCCATGTTGCTGTCGGTAGAAGACGGCGTTTTTCCTGGCCACATCACTGTGGGGTTCCAAATGTAGCTGTGTGGCTGATGCCTGGATGGCTGGTAGACTTGCATTCACTGCAGACATGTAGTTGAAGTTGAAAGAAGAGGAGAGATATTGAAATCCGCGTGAAAGTCTGACATTGCGTATGGGGCAGTTGTATAGTACCACATGGCAGCCACACTAGAGGTAGTGGAAATGGCTACTTCGTTCCATGGGGCACTTAGACACTCACACATGGATACAGTGGAACCTCCGATAGCAGGGACCCTCCGAGATAGGGACGACCTCTTTACGAGGACACTATGTTTCAACCCCATGCTAATACTTTAGTGTATTATTTGCCTTCCGAGATAGGGACGACCTCTCTACAGGAACAAAATAGTTGGCCTCATAGTGTCCCTCGTTAGGAGGTTCCACTGTATCCACAAGCCATGATGCCAAAGCAGCACATTGTAACCCAATTCCAGTGCTAAAGACTGGTATAATGTTCGTGGTACTCTGAGGGGGGCACAAAAAGTACTCTGTGTTAAACCACACCCATGTTTCGCAGGACCCTTCGTGGACAGTACCCTCTGCTGCCATAACGCAACGTGCCAGCATCATGAAATGTGGTATATGTAGACTCCAATATGTACAGGTGAATATAACCACTGGCACAGTTTTTATGGGGAGACGCTCACTACTAGGTAGGAATGAGCCTGCTGAAACTTACCTGAAGTGTGGTTGCGTTGTATACTTAACAGAAAGCCATGTGGTCACGTACCGATCTTCACTCCGTACTTTGTGACTTGGCAGTACGAGTGACTCATGCATGTAGTAACGATCCTTGAGTTAGTAATGTAATTTAAGGACTAGACACCACACATGTGGTAGGGCCGTACTCTGGAGATAGTGGAAGTGGCTACCTCATATCACTAGAGACTCACACATGTGGTATATAGCCATACTGGAGGTAGTGGAAGTAGCTGCCAAAGAACTCCTCAGTCTTGTCAAACCTCAGTTCTCCCAGTTTGTGGATACACTGGCTCTGACACTCCTTCAGTGTGATCATCTGGTGGATAACCGTCTGGGGACATATATAGACATTTGGTAAGCATAGGACTCAAAAGTTTACTGTGCATTGGATAAATGTTAAATGCAGCGAAAGTGTAAAAACCTCATCAGCCTGTGTGCCTTACAGCTTGTTTACAAACACTAACTAGCCTTGTGTTTCTAGTTTTTAAGGCTAATAAAAAGCAAAAGGAACAGTTACCCTTACTGAGGTGATCGGACTCTCTGCATCCAAAATTAAAACATATACAGTAAAAATATGTTTAGGGTTGGAGTGGATAGCGATTAACCAAAATATCAGGACAAACAACAAGACTCTAGTCTTGAAAATACAACTTGCTGATTGAGCTCGCAACGAGTGTATGAGCTGCACACTTCGTACCCATACGAACTACGTGTATACCAACTGCACATACACCACAAGACACCAGGCCTAGTACTCTCTACAGGCCAGTACAAATTAAACTTGAGCAAAGCCAATTCTGCGGTTAAGTCTGAGAGGACCATAGCACTCATCCCTGCACCGTTGGAGAGCCCTGGGCAGTTCCTGTAGAGAGGTCTCCATCACATCCACCTGCTCCTGCCACTGGTTCCTATGGTAGAGCTCACTGCCCATGTAGTACAGGTCCCACTAGCAGGAGGGTGGCTAGGGGGGAGGGGAGGGAAGGGAGGAAGGAAGGGAGGAGGGGAAAACAAATGAGCAATAAAGACAGATGGGTGTATGAGGAAGAAGGGGTGTGTTTGAGGGGGGAGGGGGGTGAGAGCTGATATCTCAACTAGACCTAACAGCAGCAGTTTAAACCACAGTCAATGTTATGGTTGTTCCATATGTGACTGTTGGAGAGGGTAGCTATAAAAGGAATAAATGGCCATTAGATCAGAAGATATCCAATTCTTCAAACATGATAGTAGTTGGTTCAACTACTAGCCACCACTCTTGCTCTATCCGACGAGGGGTCATCTATGACTGCAAATAAGTATAATCTGGCTTTTTACTGTCCTTCCCTACACCGCTTATGCTCTTGAGGGTCAGACAAGAACATTTACACAGGCTCAGAGGGAAGCTAGAAGATAGCCTTTACTACCATCCATCCCATAACTGCAATCAATATTTACGCCACAATAGGGATTGTTATAATGTGATTCTTTGTCATAATTATTATCTAGTGACGCACAAGTGAATTACAATGTCCACACAGTTGCATAATAATGGTACAAAAGAGAAAAGAACAACACAATTTGAATCAGTTGTAGACGAAATCCCTATCATGAAACAGTCTTAATCTCGTGGAGAATCTCCTCAGCCATGGAGAAGGTAGCCTCCTTGTGGTTGGGGTCAAGGGTGAACCAGAGAGCCACGGCACACCTCCTGCCCTTGGTGACAGCCAGTACTCCGTGCATGTTCTCCTTCCCTGCTGAGAAGGCCACCAGACGACCACACTTTGGACTCACCGTCTCCTGTGGAACAGGGAGAGGGACAGGGGGAGATGGGAGTTAAAGAAGACTGTGCCAGCATTCCTCAATCATAGCTGAAGTGTTTTACAGCTATTCATGGCCTTGTTTTCAGGCCTTCACCACCGTATGTTTTTCAATGTGCATTCTTCACTGCTAGAGCGGATGTGAAACGAGATCATGCGTGTGGCAGCACAATGCGAGCATGATCTATGGGAGTAAAGCTAAGCCTACTTCAGAGAGGCACAGCATGGCAAGGCGAACTCACTACCCGTCAGGTGAGAGTCTTTTGTCGTAGTGGTGCATCCCAGAAAGAGTCTCTCCTCTTCAACACTCATCTCGTTGAGGTACAGAATGGCACTGTGGAGGGAGGGGTGACCAGAATGAGAACAGCTTGAACAACTACGGTACACAGGAAATGAGGGAGAAGTAACTGTTTTTCAGGTTTGAGTGTTGCACGTGTCTGTTTAAGCTCCGAGTTAATAGTGTCCGAGTATTACATTAAAATATGGTCATGAAAATAAGGCGACCTTTTGTCCCTTCCCTTTCTCCCTCGCAAGCCAATCACATGATGTTATTGGTCAGTCAATCTAATTCAAGGCTTGGCATAAGTTTAGGCAGCTCTAGTCTCACTCTCATAAACCCGCTCCTGTTCTTTACGTCCTGCCCGCATCACCCCATCACCCCTCCGTAGTCTCGACTCTCCAGGTGTAGGCAGTAGGTGACTTTTGTCACATGCTGCCCGTGTCCTCAGTCAGTGAGGCAGTCATCAGAGTGGACCGGATGACTCAGATCTCTCCTCTCCACCACTGCAGGAGGGGTGGTGTGGTGGCTCAGCTACCATACAGTACACAGATACAGTATAATCAATGAGCAGCCGTTTCACTGTTTAAGACACGACTCTGATGTAGGTCTGATGCACGTTACAGACAGATATGCTGAAATATCCAGCATTAAGACGACTGCACTCCAGTAGCTAAGTAGCAAATTAATTAACCCTTTGGACGCCATGGGTACGTCCTTAAATAATCAGAATTTGATGTATAACATATTAATGCCTAGTACTATAGCCATTTATAAATTCTTATGGACTTATGGAGGCTGTGAGCATATGCCCGTGGCTGGCTGAGGGTTAATTTTATTGCATATGTGTTTCCCTTAAACATACTTGAGTGTAGCGTCAGGAACATTTCACTATTGAGCATGAGTGTTTCCGCTAGTATAAAAGCATGCTTTCAGAATAATGAGCAAAAAAGAAGCCAGATCAGACAATGAATAGATAAATGTGGGTGTTGCGTACCATCTTTGGCGGTGCGACAGACTAAGTGGGTGTAGGAGAAATAGAGTGGAGTTTGGAGATTGAATTCCTTGGCTATTGCATCTCGAGACCTCCTGCTATCATTGACATACAGTTGAGACAGCTCTGGAACAACCTCTCCCTCTTGGGATTTCTGTATAATTGTAGAAACACATGATACACATAGACACTATGTATTTATGGGGAAGGCACAAACGATAGTGTAAAGTTTAGTTTGTATGATGAAACTTACTACTGTCAATGAGACATAGTCAGATGGATAAAGGTCTTGTTTGACTACGTGCGTGTCCCCACGGCCACAGTGAGTGATTTTTTCTTCACCGTGGAATAGAAAGGGATAAATACCGTCGTGCCTGTGACACTCCTGAGCAGAGATACATGGATCATTATCACCACAACAACCCAACTGAGACTTCAGGCACGCTGTGGGCAACACCTGAATACTGTATTAACTACGTTATCACATTACACCCTCCACACTGCAGTGACTGACAACTATGCAATGGGAGAGTGGGCATGACCGAGGACTGCACGACCATGCAATTTGTACTAGTAGGTGAATACAGGGCGAGCGGAGCGTCTGTTTAGAAATGCAACTGCACCTCCCGTTACCCCACATCCCCGTAGGCGAAGTGTTCTATATGGACCAGCTGTGGCTTTACGTGTTTGGGGTGCATGAATGCGGTGCCAATCGCGCAGTAATGTATGTACTGTTGGCCATAGTTCATTGCTGCAAAGGAGAGCAGCGAGGTTGTTTCGTGCCTGGACGACTTTTCCCGTAGTCTTCCACAGGGATTTACGATCCTTTACCTCTACAGTGACAGTTGCCCAGGACAGAACAAGAATGTTACTGCAATGCACTAGTTGTTCACTCTGGTCCATCTTGGACGATTTAAGCTAATTCAGCATCATTTCTCTGTTCGAGGCCATTCGTTTTTACCGACCGTATTTTGGCCGCACCAAGACAAAAAAGTGTCACGAGAGGATTTACGGGCCCGAGCAATGGTATGAGGTGATCAAAAGTGCCAGAAAGAGGAACCCCTTTTACTGTTACACCTGTGTCCCAGAATACGGTTGTGGACTACGGCAAGCTGGCTCCGTTCTTCCAGAAATCGGTTCGATCTGGAAAACAAACTCTGAGCATGCAGAAAGGAAGAGTATTTGAGTACGCCGATGCACATGCTTCAGAGGTGTGGGTATGTATGGAGGCGAGAACGAACAGTGGTCAAAATTCGTGAGCCAAAGAATACCTCACTACTTCCGCTAAAGCCATCGAAAGTTTCCGACGTAAAAGAAGCTAGTCGATAAATTTGTACCTCGAGAATACAAACAAGCAAGCAAGAAAGCAATGCACGGGAGTGATGAAGCGTCGTCTGAAACTGACGAAAGCGAAGGGAATAGACATAGTTATCACTGGACATTGAATACTACTACATACACTAGGTGAATGCAGTGCATTTTTGGAGAGCGAGAGCAATCCAACAAAAGGTTGTTTGCATGCGCAAATATTGGTTATATCTACGCGGTCAGCGGTTCTCATGTGCTTGAGGCTGTGTCTCTCTCCTCGGATGATCGTGCAGCATGCCACGCTCTCTCTCTCGCGCCCTACGTTGTGACAGGTGCATCTCCCTCTCCTTGGCCGTCTCAGAAGAAAGACACTGTCTCTGGCGAGCACGGTCCCTCGATTGTCGCCGCTTTCGGGCCTCTGAAGCGCGACGATATCTGTCTCGGTCTCTCTCTCTGTGCCTAGCTAAGCGCCTCTCCCTGCGCTTCCATAGCGGGGATCTATCTCGTATGCTCCATCACGATTTCACATAGCTATAAACGTGGTAATATTGTATTGCTACCAGCTTCCGTTTATTTAGAATCACGTACAACGTTAGGGTATCGGTGGCAGCGTCGTCAAATAAAAAAATTAATAAACACCCCTTATGACATCTACGTTGGCTCGCTCCAGCTCGCCAATTACTCTCATTGATCAAGTGCAAACCCTCGGCGCATTGTGACGTGTGCGCGTAAGTAAACAAATGCGCCATACCACTAATTGACGGGCTGGGTTTTTTTAGCTGTTACTCGTGGTCTCTTGCTAGCTCGCGCAGAGTCAGACGCGGGCTAACAACACTACTTGATAGCATGCGAGAGGCGATACACACCCTGCATTGCATCTTATGGTGCCTCCGAGGTACGCGGATCGATCAGACTGTGGTAGCTATGATACACATGGAGGTGTGCAAGTCATAATTTCTCTATGTCTAGATGAACGCCATACACAATCCAAGAATTAGGCCCTTATCTGCAGGTGTTTCCATTTACTTCTGTGTCTGTGCATGCTGCGTGTACCTAGTCACAGGAGAATCTACGTACGTATGTGGGAAAAGGTAGTGGAGTGCAACAGTGCATATAAGATGTTTAGAGTGGCACCCTCCCTTCTGAGTAGCATCATAACTTTCTCAGAGTCAGGTGAATAACCATCCACCAAGGGAGTGATCGTAACTAAACATTAGCGTAGCAAACCACTAGTCTCATACATACACACCAACTATATACATAGTGCATACATTTACTGGTTACTTAAAAAATGAGAGTTGTTCTGAAGATTTAACTGCCAGCTACAAGCTGTAACAATGATCACCTCCCTGACTGTAGGTATGACAATGTACTGTTTCTTCACAGCTCATTCCCTGGAGAGAGACCCAGTGATGATGGAGAAATGCACACGAATTTCTTTAACTAAACAATATTGTGTAGAAGTAGAACACGTGACTGTGTGAAACAAAATCTTCCAAATCCAAGAACATGACCAACCACCACCAAAACTCCTCCACATAAAAAGCTGTGCACACATTGTGAATGTGCATATATTACTACACATTCTGTTGTATTGAGAGCTTACTGCACCTTACTGGAAAGTTGTTACTCATGGTATCCCGCTAGTAGCTCATGCAGAGTCTGGCACGGGCTAGTAGATAGCATGCGGGAGTCGATACATGCCCTTCGTTGTGAATTTTTGTGCCTGCAAGATACACGGAGCGAGCGGACGCGGTCGAGGTAAGCCTGTGCTAATTTGCATATTGGCCTGTTTACTTGCTTTTCACGCCATAACTTTTGAACTCAGCAGTTATACAAAAATCTCCTTCTTAAAATGAAGCCAGTGTAGCGACGAACCCATTGGTATCGCTATTTTGTTATCTCGTTGCATGTAGTCACAGAAAACATGGTAACAGACAGACAGACACTCTTACAAACCAAGTACTGTAACCCTCGCTGCGCATACGCGCTGAGGGTTAATGAAAAGCACTAAAGTGCAAACCCTCGGCGAACTGCGCATGCGTGGTACCGCTAATTGATGGGCTGGCCTATTAGTATGCGTTTACTCGTGGTCTCCTGCTAGTAGCTCGCGGTGAGTCTGATACGGGATAGCTACAGTAGTGGATAGCATGAGGGAGTCGATACAAGTCCTTCGTTTTTGCTTCTTGTGCCTGTGAGGTACACATAGCAAGCGGGTCAGGTCGAGGAAAGCGAGTGCTAATTCTTGTTCACTTGGTTTTCGTGCCATAACTTTAGAACACAGTACTTCTACGAAAATGGCTATTTTTAAAATCAAGCTAGCATAGAAATGAACCTGTTGGTATCTGCTATTATGTTGTCTCGTTGCGTGTGGTGGCATAAAACGTGGTAACAGACAGAC